TGTTTTTGCTTGGTAAATGTATTTTTATTATTATTTTGATTTAAATTATTCTTATTTGTAAAGATAATGCATCCAGGGAAAACTAAAACACACCAGGAACACTACCTCACAGGTGATGTGGAAAGAATTTTGTTGATGAGCTTACAAATTGCACTTACTTTTAAGCACAAACATATATATTTTTGTAATATTATGATTTGAAGTGTCTGCACAAGGTCTGTTAATAACTTGAAAATGGTGAACCTTAGGGAAAAAATTCAAGTCACCTTTTTTACGTATTTAGTGCATAGAATATAAATCCGTTACAATAACTTGTCAAAAATACAGTTTTTATAAAAAGGGGGTGACCCCTGTCCAGTTGTACGCCACTGGTTAAACCTTTAGAACTCATATTTTAGGGAATGCAAGGCCTACTATCGTACATTATTTATACCAAATTTTATTGAGATCGGTTAATAACATTCCTGAGATATGAACAAAACATAATTTTTTTTTAGCAACTTCAACACCCTGTATATCTAAAACGAGGCCGTTCCAGATCTATGTTTATAACGCATACTCCTATTATTTTAAAGAGATCTATCTATCCTCGAAGTTTCCTGCATAAAATTCGGACCACCCTGTATAGGGTGTTTCAGAAAGACCTCCCGTAAATTCAGGGGATGATACGACAAAAAATAAAAAATTTTTGTCGAATGAACTATATGTCTATCTCCTCTTGTTTTCGAGATACAGAGCGACAAAATAAAATTTTGTAAATAGAATTTTTACGGAAATTTCTAAACGGTGCGAAATATTTTTATGAAGTTTGGTATTCCGGGCTGGGATATTTCATAGAGGGCGCTAGTTATGCTACATTCCTATTACATTTTAAGTTCTAATATTTTTAAGGTTAGGTTTTTTACCATTTGGGCTCCAATTTCTAATGTACAATTTTATTTTCCAAAAATAATGTACTCTTGTTAGAACTTCCTAATGTGAACGGTTTTCGAGAAAGAAGGCTTTCAATTGAACTCCTGCAGTATTACGGTGTATCAAATAAGTAACTTTTCTCAAAGTAGGCTTATGTCAAAACTTATTGATGGATGTCTCATAAACAACGCATACATTCTTAGTAATATTTTAAACTCTAATTAACTTTATATCAAAATTTTACTGTAGTTAGTAATGACTAATTATAGTCACTAAAATTTTGATATAAAGTCATATGAGTAACTAAATAGGTATTTAGTTACTCTTATGTATAAAGTTAATTCTAATTAACTTTAAAATATTACTAAGAATGTATGTGTTGTTTATGAGACATCCATAAATAAGTTTTGATATAAGCCTACTTTGAGAAAAGTAACTTAATTTCTATACCGTAATATTGTAAGAGTTCAATTAAAAATATACAAAAAATAATTAGACTAGCGTATTTGACGTCCTTAAAAACCCCGGAATACAAAATATTTCGCACCGTTTGGAAATTTTCGTAAAATTTCTATTTAAAAAACTTTATTTTGTCGCTCTGTATCTCGAAAACAAGAGGAGATAGACATATAGTTCATATGACAAAAAATTGTTATTTTTTGTCGTACGTATCACCCCTTGAACTTACGGGAGGTCTTTCTGAAACACCCTGTATAATATTTAAAAACTGAAATTCTAACATTATTAAATTAGGGTAACTTTTATCATTGAAACTACATAAATAACTTTCTAATAACTAATAATTTCTCTTGATACTTGCCAAAAAAAAATAACTTTTAGATCTTTATTTGGCCATCCGGTCCAGTATGCCAGGAAGTATTGTCCACGGTGTCCACCAAAGGTTAATATGACAATAATGACATTACCTGATAGCCACGGCAATCAACAATCTTGCTTTCATCGCCTAATGAACCCAAAGTTTTAAACTCGTGACACTGCTACGCAACCGGAAACATACACACCTGCAAATAATGCAATTTTTCTCAACAACGGCTTTCTGTAGGCGATTTTTTCAAGAGACAATATATTTTTTTAATAAAATGACCTTTTCAATGTTGCTGCCCGTTTTAAAAAAAAAATACGACCACTGTAAAAGTTTTAACCGCTAAAAGGAGGAGGTAACCGGAGAAAACTGTCATCCAGTATATCGATTTGACTAAAGTTTTAAGAAATAATACGCCATAATAGTCCAAATAAATGTCTCAAATTTTAACGCCATCGGTCAAAAGGTTATGAAATTATTAATTAAATTGAGGGTTACTTTCGCTGTACAGCAAGAACAAAACGCTCTCTCAACGGTACAAATAAACTATTTTTATTGAAAACTAAGCTTGTGTAGAAAAAGTAATGTTGACGGTTTGCTGGAGAGTGCCTTGTGGTTGAAGTCGGTCGTAGGTAGCTTGGTAGTCGGTGGCACAAGTCCCTGGTCCTGGCGCCACTCTGCAGGGGTCGTCTTCCGGGAACCCCGTGGTGCGTCCGGCGGCGTTCTTGACGTTGTGCTTAAAAATGGGTCTCTTGCGAACATGTGTACCCACAAACTTAGTTTTATTTTTGTCAACTTTGAAGGCTCGTAACTCAAAAACCAAAAATTTTTTATTTAACTTTTTTTCGTAGATCGTCGTGAATATCCAGTCAAACGTTGTCGGTGAAATTTGCGGACACCCTGCATACAGTCCGTACGATATTTGATGAGAGAGAATTCCAAGAAGACCCCTGCGTCACTTTCTTGAAATTATCCGAATTCGACACCTGAGGTAGAAAGACATTGGCGGCGTGGCTTTAACCATTGCAGCTTGCAGTGCTTTTACACGTTTCTTTGTTTATTCCTTTTTTTTGTACCAGCATGTTTATAATAAGTTATTTATGATTTGTACTATAATGTACTGTAATGTAAAAACAGGTTTTAATCCAAGAAAATATAGTTTATATACAGGGTGTTTCAAAAATATATGTCGGAAAATGAAGGATGTGAATCCTTGACTTATTCTAAGAAGAAAAGTTCTTATTAACATGGGTCCGCAAACGCACCATTTTCGAGATAAAGGGTGTCAAAAAAAGTTTTTTTTTTTTCAGTATTTTGACGATACCTCAGAAACCGTTGAAATACAGAACTCAAATTTCGTACACGTATTATCATTAATTTTAGTTACTTCTGAGCGCTAATTCAGTTTTTATTCATATGATTGCTTGAGGTTCTTTTGCATCTAATTTTTACGACTCTGAGAAAATTGGCATTTTGGAAGCCAACAGGTAATCATCATCAAAAACTCTAACGCGAACCGTTTTCAAGATAAATAGCGTTTTATGATGAAAAATATGAAAGAAAGTGGCAGCATGATAAAAAACCTACGTCTGAATGACTGACGTACCCAAAGTGCCCGGAGTCACTCTGGCACTTTCCGTGCAATCATCTCCGTAGTTACCTTATTAGGAACATTTTGAAGAAAAACAGAGTGAAATTGAGAATTTTAGCTTTTAAAAATTGATATAGAGTACAAAAAGNTTGTTAGAACTTCCTAATGTGAACGGTTTTCGAGAAAGAAGGCTTTCAATTGAACTCCTGCAGTATTACGGTGTATCAAATAAGTAACTTTTCTCAAAGTAGGCTTATGTCAAAACTTATTGATGGATGTCTCATAAACAACGCATACATTCTTAGTATGGAGTAATAAGAATCCTAAAGAAACACGACAATAATGACATTACCTGATAGCCACAGCAATCAACATCTTGCTTTCATCGCCTAATGAACCCAAAGTTTTAAATCGGTGACACTGCCACGCAACCGGAAACATACAGACCTGCAAATAATGCAATTTTTCTCAAGAACGGCTTTCTGTAGGCGATTTTCTCAAGAGACAATAATTTTATTTTTGTCAACTTTGAAGGCTCGTAACTAAAAAACCAAAAATTTTAAGAAGAAAAGTCCTTATTAACATGGGTCCGCAAACGCACCATTTTCGAGATATAGGGTGTCAAAAAAAGTTTTTTTTTCAGTATTTTGACGATACCTCAGAAACCGTTGAAATACAGAACTCAAATTTCGTACACGTATTATCATTAATATTAGCTACTTCTGAGCGCTAATTCAGTTTTTATTCATATGATTGCTTGAGGTTATTTTACATCTAATTTTTACGACTCTGAGAAAATTGGCATTTTGAAAGCCAACAGGTACTCATCATCAAAAACTCGAACGCGAACCGTTTTCAAGATAAATAGCGTTTTATGATGAAAACATGAAATAAAGTTGCAGCATGATAAAAAAACATTTCAAAACTAAGCAAATAGACAACAAAAAACACAACAGTTGTTGAAACTCCTTCTAGGGTAATGCAGGCTTCCAACCTACGTCTCAATGACTGACGTACCCAAAATGCCCGGAGTGTTGCGGATCGTATTGCAGGATATAATAATGCGATTCCTCAGTTCTTGAACATCACGCCTCTGGCACTTTCCGTGCACATAACCCCCTACGCTGTAGGTCCCATAGCGAGCGCGCGTGATAGAAAAAATTTTTAATTCTAAATCTAGAACTTTTTTATACTTAATTATTTTTGTCTAATCTGTCTAATTAATTTTTACATAAAATAAAAATCATCTCCGTAGTTACCTTATTAGGAACATTTTGAAGAAAAACAGAGTGAAATTGAGAATTTTAGCTTTTAAAAATTGATATAGAGTACAAAAAGGGTAGTCAATTTTTGCCCTCTTCTTGAAGTTACTAATATCTACACAGTTAAATTTTAACAGGCAACTCAAATTCCTGTCGAAAAGGATCTTGTTAGTAACTTGGCTTTCTTCTGCTTTATAAAATGTATTGTAATATATCACAATTTCTTATTCAGCTTCTTCTCTGATTGTTGTCAAATTGCAGCTCAAATGTCATTCTACGTCTGCACTTGCTTTACCTCGATACAGCTCATCCAAATTGCAAGGCACTGGTCCCACATTTTAAGGGAATGGTCTTTCGTGGAGATGTCTATGAGAAGCTACAGTTATCAAGTAAACTTAAAGAAAACCTTCGTCATACTTACCAGTTTATTTATGGGTGTAGGCTTAGGTAAGGACTCATAACTGTAGAAATAATTAATAGGTAAATATACATAAGTAACCAGCAAATGCATATTGTAATGTGAAATAATAAAATTTTAGCATTATAAATTTTAAATACGTAGGTAACAACAAATTTATAAAAGCTAATCTAAATGTTTCTTTCAGTGGAACATCTGTTCTTCATTTTGAATTCGGTTTATCAAGCAAAACATTGTACAGGATTTGCAGAAGCCCCTTTGAAATATTATTCTGGAGTATCATTTCCAAATTTCTTCACTCTTATAGCTTATACTCACTGGGCAGGCGCTATCATTAAAGTAAGTAAACATAAATATTTGTTTAAACAAACAAAACATTTGTAGATATTTTTGTCCGATTTTATATGAAAACGTAAAGATAAATAACAAAACAAATCTTGTTACAATATTATATCTGCTTTTAGTGCCCGTCATGTTTTTGTTTTAGTTTTCCAATACCATATCGACATTTGCTTGGATTTTTACGGATTTATTGATAACACTCATAAGCATAGCTTTAACAGAAAGATTTAAGCAAATCGTACGGAGGCTTGAAAACAACAAGGTAAATGTTTAGATATTTAAAAATAATCATTTTCAAGTATAAATTATCAACTTGAAATAAATCTTATCTCTTAATAATTTCGCACACCTTATATCTCGATAAAGAATCGTTTCCAAACATAAATTTATATATAATTAGGGGGTATGATGTTTATTTCTTGAAATAAGTAATTTGTTGAACAATAATTCAGTTTTAAAATAAGGAAATGTTGTTCTTTAAGGTAATGCACGAAAAATTCTGGAAGGAAATTCGGCAAGACTACCAAAGACTCTACCATCTTTCAAAAACAGTGGAAAAGCATATGGCATTGTTAGTGCTTATTTCATACATACATAACATATTTTTTCTATGTATTCAGTTATATAACAGCATCAGGTAAGAACTCATATTGTCTTTCTTATAAGAAGCTTTACAGAGCCAAATTGTAAATTTTTTTGCTCTTAGGTATTGATATCGCAAATTCACACAGTTCACTTCTCTATTGTAATTAGTAGCTTTGTTTCTAGTTCATTAGAATCGGTTTCCAATAGTCAGAAAATTAATTTTGAACCTTTTATAACCATTTTATGTGAATGAGCATGCTTCTGACTAGCTGGAAACTGTTTCATATTGCTCTAGGAACAAAGCTACCAAGCTAAAGTAGAACCAATTTTCAATACTAATATTTGCTTGATACCAACTTTTAATATTTGGGGTTATTTACTGTTTTCTACTCGTTTTACAAGAATGATAAAGCAACAAAACTAAAATATTGTGTATTGTTTTTTTTATCATAGTACAGCGGCTACTTATTTAGTAGGAAATGATCTGTTAGTGGCAAAACTGCGTTGGCGGGTAAGAAGAGAAAAGGGTAACTTTAATTTAGTTAATAAATAAGTCCTAGGGGATGAAGATACATTTAAATCGCATTTATCGATGAACACTGTTGATTCTATATCTTTATATCCACATATAAAAGAAATCGTAGAAAAAGTTATTGAAAAATTAGAGCCAGTTTTGTTTTTGGTACAGCGCTCAATTTTCTTCTTCAAGGCGTGGATTGTAGTGGGCTTGTCGACATAAATCTTATACTTCAAGAAAATCTCATATGAAAACGTACAACAGCGTTAAATCGCATGATTTGGGGGGGGGGGCAATTCTGATGACCAAAACGGGAAATTACACGACCAGGAAATGACTCATGCAGTAATTGAATTGTTTCTCGAGCTGTATGGCATGTGGCACCGTCTTGTTGAAACCACATATCATCTACATCTATATCTTGCAATTTAGGGTCAAAAAACTGAATTATCATGTCGCGATAGCGAGTACCATTAACTGTTGTTGCCTGACATTTTTGAAGAAGAATGATCCGATGATGCCTCAAAGCCCAAAATCCGCACCAAACAGTGACACGTTTTGGATGCATTTGTTTCTCAACAATCACTCGTGGATTTTCTGAACACCAAATGCGACAATTTTGTCGATTTAACGAAGGCATCAAGATGAAAATGAACCCCATCGCTGAAGATGATTTTGTTCGAAAAACAGCATTCACTTGTTCGATAATCCATTCGACGAACTTTCTTCACTCTGCGTGGTCAGTAGGCCTCAGTTTTTGAGTCCATGGTATATTGTAAGCATGAAGATGCAAATCTTGCTTGAATTTTGGGACACCCGATTTTAGAATACGTGGGTCTGGTTCATGGCCGAATCCACTTTTTCGTATAACTCTGTGCTATGAGACAGTGGACTGTATAATACAACTAAAATATCTTTAATAAATTCTTCAACTTTACAAATTAATTCACGAATTTCTTTGAGTAAAACGGCTATTATTTCTTCATCATTCTCAATCTCATTCTTGTCGTAAAGCAAACAGAGGATGCGGTAGTATCGTAAATAATCTTGTTTATTTGTTGATATCAAATAAATATTCATATTCAAAATTAGCTGTATACTGCAATTGGAGTAATTACAATAAAAATTTGGGCTATAATACTTGCAATATTTTCAATAATTTCGATATCGAATTTTAATTCGTGATTTCCTTTGATTGTATAAAACAGTTATTTTAAGAACAGATTATTCAGTTAATTATCTACAAGTGATTCTAAAATATGAAGTTATACTGAAACAACAAAAATTTATTTTAAGCAAAAAGCTTCCTACGAACACCAAACCAAAACATATTGTTTAAAATGAAACTCAACGTAGATCTTCAGAAAATCAATTACAACAATCTTGTCTCTAGTGCAGTCATCTTTTTTGACTAAGCTTCTTCGCTTCATATTTTTTATAATAAACTTTTTGTTTAAAATTACATTTTCTATCACCTGCTTTAATTTTCATACCATCTTGTGTGATTTTAAATAATTAAACTCTAACTTTCAGAGAGAGGACAGGGATCATAGAATCTGTATACTTCTTCTACTCCTTTGGATTCCTCGTCCTAAGACTGTTGGTAATTTCGATGTATGGTGCATGGCTTAATGACGAGGCTAGGAAACCTTTAGACATCCTGTACGCTGTACCTTCAGAACATTATTGCACAGAGGTAAGCGATCATGTGTTCAATGTAGTTTTAGTAAACCTGCTATAAATCGAATTTTATTGCAGATAAACCGACTTATTGAGCAGATTTACACCAATCCTGTGGGAATTACAGGTTCTGGATTCTTTTTGGTAACAAAAAATTTCCTTTTACAGGTAAACCAGCATTATTTTCAAACTTATTGCCTTACATTATATTGTCAAAGCATAACAGTTTTTTTTCTTTTAGATGGCGGGCACTATAGTTACTTTTGAACTGATGATTTTTCAGTTTGCTCAGCCTGTAAAGACTACATCAACAACAAGTACAAACATAACATACAATTGTAATGTTATATAGAGATGCACTCAGTGTAAAATTTTCATCAGAAACCCTTCTTATACTTTTTTAAATAAACAATTTTTTGCACGCTCAGATAATTTGACATCTTTACTGAATTTGTTTACCTTTATCAATTAGCGATCGGTAAGTGATCACTTACCGATCAGGAGACGGTAAGCAATCTAATAAATGAAGAAATTAAAAAATTTATTTTTATTAAAGACAAAATTAAAATTACAATTTGAATAATTATTAAATTTATTGAAGCAATAGATTTCGGGTTTAAAGCAACATTCTCCTGTGATGATGCTTTAGTTGCTGTCTGTTTTGGTCGCAGTGCTAGATATTTTTTATAAAATTCCAAATAAATCAACGATCTTGTTTCCTTGATTTGTTATTGTAAATCGGTCGATATTATGGCGAAGTACTAAAGGCTTTACAAAATTGTATTTTTGGTTTAGATAATTATTGCTACAAGAGTAAAAACACGAAATAATTTTTTAGTCAATAAATACCTAGCTGTTATTCAAGTAGCTACGTCGTCTATGGGTGAAATACATTTTTATTTATATATTTTCTCCCAACTGTTTTGTAACTTCATTCGTCTGTACATTCTGCATAGGTATTCTGTACACTAATGTTTAGTACATTGCTAATTTTGGCATTACAAAATTATAAATAGTTAAAATATCTGTTTGAATATGGATTCTTTTTATTAAGATTTCGTGAATTTTCAAATTTCTTTTTTCTCGAAAGTGTACTGAGTAATAGGTAACATCGTTGAAAGTTAAATAATGCACGCCAGTATTGTGTAGTTGATCTTCCCGAAGGACCATGTGACGGCACAGCTACTGGAGTATTTTTTTTTCTTTAGTTAATTATGCTTTTTAAACCTAAATATATGTAGAATGTGTCCGTCCAGAAACGCGAAGATAACTTATTCAAATTCGGTAAGTATAGTCAACAGTTTTTTTTTTTTAGAAATAATATGATCCCTCTAGCCCTGTGAGTTTTTTTATTGGTTCGACACTGATTCATCTTCTTTTGAGAAAAACTAACTTCCTTGTTTTATCTTTTTGATTTGGAAATTATTAATCAAAATATGATTTAAACCATTATTATACTTTTTTATGTGGTTAGGTTTAGCTAGCTTTAAGTAAAATTAGCATAAATCTAATTTGTCAGAGTATAGGGCAATTAGTATGATTCAATCTATCATATCAGGAAAAATGTAAACCAAATAAGAATAACTAGAAACATAAAAAAACTTTATCATCCTGTACGTATCTCAAAAAAGAATTGATTTATTGATCTAAGTTCATGTTTATATAAACCTTTTTATTCTGGTCGAACAACCGCATTGCGATAATTTATTTTGCCAGTGAATGGGTATATTGCAAATCTTACAAAGCGATTTAAAATTAAATAATAAAAATACCATTAATCTAGAGTGAAATAGAATTTTTTGTCAGAGGACGTCAAAATTGGCAAAAAATTTTGCCTCTTCCTTGACTAAAATGTATTAAAAATTTAGACTTATGTTGTAAATAAGGCAGTCGTTTGCGGTAGGTATTCTACTTTATACTTATCAATATAGTGCAAATGCAAAACACGGCATATTTTGGGAAGTACCGCCTATTTGTTGCAGCTATGAAACTAACCCCACTCCCCGTTTTTGAGTATGCTAGATCCGAATTTAACGTCCTTGAACTTTTAACCCTGTGCATCCCCCGCAATTGGCCAAAAACCACCCCTTTTTTTAATTTCAGGCCCCAGTGATGAACTCTAAACCCCTTCCCTCGTTCTCGAGGGTACTGATCACAAATATGTGGATGATCACGACTCTCCCCAACCCTCGCTACTAGTATTTTTGTCACAAAATCACAGATTTAATGCTCTGTTGATTGGTCTATTTCAAGAGGGTTCAAACTTCAATTCAGTAATTATGTGATGTGATCTTTATGTGATCTTGATCTGATTATTACTCATGGAGGAAACACGCTTACGGAGACCGAAAATTCCGCATCCAAATCCAAGATTCCCTTTCCACCACCNAAATACCATTAATCTAGAGTGAAATAGAATTTTTTGTCAGAGGACGACAAAATTGGCAAAAAATGTTGCCTCTTCCTTGACTAAAATGTATTAAAAATTTAGACTTATGTTGTAAATAAGGCAGTCGTTTGCGGTAGGTATTCTACTTTATACTTATCAATATAGTGCAAATGCAAAACACGGCATATTTTGGGAAGTACCGCCTATTTGTTGCAGCTATGAAACTAACCCCACTCCCCGTTTTTGAGGATGCTAGATCCGAATTTAACGTCCGTTGAACTTTTAACCCTGTGCATCCCCCGCAATTGGCCAAACACCACCCCTTTTTTAATTTCAGGTCCCAGTGATGAACTCTAAACCCCTTCCCTCGTTCTCGAGGGTGCTGATCACGAATATGTGGATGATCACGACTCTCCCCAACCCTCGCTACTAATATTTTTGTCACAAAACACTGATTTAATGCTCTGTTGATTGGTCTATTTCAAGAGAGTTCAAATTTCAATGTTTAATGATGTTTAAATTTGAAATATCATCAAACTTCAATTCAGTAATTACGTGATGTGATCTTGATCTGATTATTACTCATGGAGGAAACACGCTTACGGCGACAGTGTAGACGAGTGAAAAAGACAGTTCGGGTACTATGTTTTTCTTTTGTGCAAGCACATGATTGGCTAACGAAACTCCATCCTCAACGATTAGAGAGAGATAGAGAGTACCCAACCTAGCGCATTTTCTCTTTACAGCGTCTACACTTTTTTACACGTGGTGCTTCTTCCATGTAATATATCCTCTAATGATGATTAGGTAAAGGCACAGAAGATCCTTGTAGTTAGGATATTCTGTGGTAAAGGTAAGTACAGTAAACAAGAGAGTACGAGAGTATACTTCTCTAATCTAGGCAAGAGAGTGGAACTTTAAATAATAATAATCAGTGATTAAAGCATAAAATTATGTAATTAATACATAAGAATGTGCAATTTAAGAGTGAATGTAAATGCTAAATAAAAATAGTGACTATTTTTATTGACTCCATTCAATAAGTTATTTGAAATTCCTGCGTCACTACAATTTCAATTGAAACCAGCACAATTACAATTAAAAATGATCTCATTTTGTTGCTAAAGTAGATGTCAATTTCAAAATTCACCTAACTCCATTAGAATTGTTTCAGTTTTCAACACAGATTTCTTGAAAATAAAAAAAAATAATTTTGTCCCCGACTAATTTTCTGTTCAACAGTTGACACCATAGGTTGACACGCTATTGTCATCATTTTATTATGATATCGGTAAATTCAACTGCTTCTGCCTTTATTAATTAATAAAATTAATTTGTGTTTTTAAATAGTAAAATCATTTGACATACCCGATGTTACAACAATTGTTCAAAATTTTATCCATCAAGGTATAAACACATTTGGGTCCGTCTTACTCAGTTTCTACGCACTAACACAAATGTTGTCTTGCTTTACCATAAATTAAAACGATATCCGTCAACTCCGAGTTGCTATACCTACACGCAAACCATTTTTGACACTAACTACTAAAAAACTATAGTAAACACCATAGATAACAGGTAAACACTATCGCAATGACGATTGCAAAATCGGATTTCAGTATTCGGAGTCGCTGAGGTCTCATGGCTCTCCACGCGTTTTGCGAATGACGCCAGAGACTACAGGTTGTCCAGCTATGTAGTGGTTGAATGTACTATTACTTCAATAATTTTTTTCTTGAAAACTATAAGGATTTTACAAAATTTTTTTATTATATTGACTCCATTTCTCATGTCGCATCTATTCCCAAATTTTTTTGGATAAGTTGTGAATCACCCTATATAGAATGTTCTCAGAAGTCCATGTTTAAAAATATATAGGGTGTTCCATTTAAAAAATGTAATATTTGGCGCGTCCCGTTTTTACAAATCGCCCTGTATGTTTCAAATTGATATTGTTCTTTAGGTTTTTTGAGTCATGTACAACTTTTATATAAACTTTTTTCTGTATTATGAATAACAAGGAAGTTATTTTACTTTCTCACACTAATGGCCCACCGTGTATATCTATAATTGTTAAGAAATTTCAGCAAAAATTTGTTTTATTTATGACGCTGAGAGGCACCTAAGCTAGAGGTATAGTTTTATTAAGAAATAGTTAAATAAATCTGTAAAATAAGATTTTCTACGACATAAATTAAGTATTATTTTTTAAGTTAATTACCTAGTTACTTAGTGTTTTTTTTATAGAATTTTATATTTTTAGAGCAAGTATGTGGGAATTTGACTAACAAGTTTGAGGTATTACATATTTAATGATTTCTTGAAGCTTTAAAGGATCAAAATATGATTTGGTTTAACAAAAAAATTGGTTGTAAACAGTGGCTTCAATTTAACTCCAAACAAATTAGTTGAAATCAATAATTTCAGATTGGAAGAAAAATATTTGTTGCAAATAAAACCTTTGAAATTTATAATGGGGAAACTAAATAACACATTATTTTTAAAACATTTGTGTAAATAAGATAAAAATAAAACTGTTGCATAAGCATCGCCATTTCATCCTTATTTTTTTTTAACTGTTTATGTAATAAGTAATCAGTGGTTAATAACCACTTTGGCTACTTCATAAAAATATGGTTCATGGTAAAATGTTTTTTTTTTTTGGTAATTTCTTTGGCCTAAAATTAGCATTAGAAATTCTTTAACCAAATCTAAAAAACTAAGTGAAGAAAAGTTGAAATAATAATAAGACTTCAATATTTAAATAAATTAACTTTTAAAAACTCAAATTATTAACCTTTTATATGTATGTGGACATGAAAAAAAATATGACTTATTAAGATGAGGATGTTTAATGTACATGATAATAAAGAACACAACTTTTAAATAACTAACAAAAGTTAGATCGATTAATAAGTATCAGTCTGAATATTTACTTATAATAAAGATACACCATTAAAAAATTACAAATCTATCACAAAAATAAATACTGACATGGGCCAAGTTCTCATGTAACAAAATTACATCTCCCCAGATTTATATTTTTTTGGAAATTTAAAAATATACATCAATATTTGCATTCATGGAAGATAATTAAAATCAACCTTACCTATCTTGCTATATGAAAACATGGCAGTATGTTTAAAAATATTTAAAAAGGAACGTGCTGTGGTACATGTAATATTTGACATCAAAAACCATCTCTTCTATACTAGACGAAGTATCACATCTACCACTAATCTGTTGGACAAAACAACTAGTACAACATGACTGTAAACCAGCATCATACACCTAGAAATAAAACGGCTTTTCAAGCCTACCAGTAAAATGCAGCTATAATAGAAAAATAATTTAATGTAATTCGTAAAAATACATTAATGTAATGTAGAAATTAAAAAATACAAATCTAACATAAAACATATTTACAACTTTTGCTCCATAACGTAATCACACAGGTACACATAATTTATAACACTTTTTTTTAATTGGTTATTCTGATACCTTGCGGCATTTCTCAGATATTCCAGAATTAGACTTGAAGAAATTTCCTTGATGACATCTGTTGAAACATTTTACAGTTACAAGATTTTAATATCTAATCTCACTGAAAAATCGAAGTGTCCATCCATACAAATAGTAAAACTTAAATCTACCTATGTGTCTTCGATTGTCGGCAACCAAAATGCCATGTTGGTGCAAGCAGATGCTAACATCATGTATTTGGGGTTAAACTGAACACATTGAACTGGACCCGGGTGATCAGCATTTAAAACACATACTTTGTATCCTGTGTCTGCATTCCAAACATGAACTCTACCATCTGTGGACCCACTGAAGATAAACTGTGAGTCTGGACTGAATGACGCCTCAATAGGTATTCCTTTATTATTAAGATGACCAGTGAAAGTTTGCAGTGGAGTACCATGAAATGCATCAATGAGACGAATTATTGAACCATTAGTACTTATCAAGATTGTTTTGCCATCCCGCGAAAATTTTAAACCTGTCCAATCACACTCTTTTTCTTGTGTGAGTTTAAACGTTACAAATGGACCCTAAAATTAAAAAAAAATGATAAATTCACATAAATGTAGATAATTCTTATTTCTTTCATATTTGCATATCTATAATAGTGTTTTCAGTGTCCATTACCTTTTGTTAATAAAGTTAAAATTACAAAAATGCTTGTGTTTGAAAAACAGAATTATATAAACTGTTAAAATGACCATAAATTTAATTACAGTGGGCATTGAGTTGTTTGTAACAGATTTATATAACAAAAATAAATAGGTTCTGTAGCTCACGTATTATTGAAACAATAAAGATAACTAGGTATGTTCGTATTTATGAAACACGGATGACCAATAAAAAATAACTAAATCTTATAATTACCTTATCGAATGATCTCAGATCATACAATTTTATGCTTTCTGAATTAACTCCTGCTGCAAATATAAGTCCTTCAGGGTCATACGCAGCTACTGGTCTGCCAGACAAGTGCATTAAGCCCTGACAGTTTGGAGACCGCAAATCCCAAAGACGTAAAGTCTTGTCTAGTGATCCTGATAAAAATGTATCCTCAACAGGTGATAAACAAAGGGAAACAACTTTCTTCGTATGTCCTGGGAAATATCTAATGTATTTATTGTCATGCAACGACAGGTATCTTATAGTATCATCAACTTTTGTGGAACTATGAATGGCAGTGTTTTTGGCGTGAGTAAAATGTATCAAATCAACACCATACTTCTTACTATTAACCGTTCGAACTTGGGTGCCTTTTTCACAGTCATATATAACTATTTGATCGTCTTCACTACATGATATAAGTGTTTCGCCACTAGGCGAGAAATCAATGCTGTTTATTTTATCGGTGTTTTCCCGGAAAACTTTAGCTACACGAAAACTACGTACTACTTGATCCACTAGTTTCATCTTCATGGGTACGGCCGTTTTTAACACACTTTATTTTCACTTAAAAATATTTAGATTTACTAAAGCGTCGGTTCGGTTCACTACAATCCAAACAAAGGCTAAAATATGGAGGATGAAACATACATGTTGGCAATACAACACCATCCGGCAAATGTGGACTTCGTTACTTTATATATGTAGTTAAAATGTTTTGAAAAACCTTGAAACTATTAAAATCTTTTTTATTTATATTTTTTATAAGTTAACAAACATTCACAAAAAAAAAGATAAGGATTAAAGTAAAATAAATAGTAGCTCAATTGACTCAAATGAATCATATACCTGAACCTGACATCAAAATCTGACCAGTAAGAAATACTTACAGGTCAGTATTGAAAGTATTTTTCTTATTTGTTATCCACGTTATCCATCACTTATCGTCGATTACAAGTTGATAATGATAGTCATTGTTACTAATGTTAGTGATAATAATTAATTCAAAAATGTGTTGTTGGAAAATATCACTTGATGTGGCAAAAATTTCTATCATAATTAAAGGGTCGCGGTTATTTACTCTTAGTTAAAATGACTTATTTAAATAGTACTAAATACCATCCTGGGTTTTATCTGTCACTTTCTAAAATTACTTTTATAACCTGAAAGTAGAGCAATTGACCTCCGCAACGCGACAAGAATTTAATTTAGTTGCCGCATAGTTTCGTGTTCAATAGGGGTATGTTTTTATTATGTTATAAGTTTGATATTGCACCATGATACATTATTTTTCGTATGCTTATTTATACATTGTTTGTTAAAAGAATAATAACCTAAGTGCAATAAAAATTTTACTTGAAAAGCCATATTTCCTAGACATATGGATTTAATTCTAGTTAAGAAAGGCCTTTTCTATATTATTAATAAATCATTTACTCCTGCAGATTAAACTTTATAAACATATTCAAAATGGATACTTCAATGTCTGCAAAGGACGTACGAAATGCCTATATAAATTTCTTCAAAGAAAAGGAACATGTCTATGTACACTCATCATCTACGATACCATTAGATGATCCTACTCTTCTTTTTACTAATGCTGGTATGAATCAGTATAAACCAATATTCCTTGGAACAGTAGATCCAAATAGTGATTTATCAAAATTATTACGTGCTGTAAATACTCAAAAATGCATTAGAGCCGGAGGAAAACATAATGATTTAGACGATGTCGGCAAAGACGTTTATCATCATACCTTCTTTGAAATGATGGGGAACTGGTCTTTCGGTGATTATTTCAAAAAGGAAGTTTGTACGTGGGCATGGGAATTTTTAACAGAGCGGCTTAAACTACCATCTGACCGTCTGTACGTAACATACTTTGGAGGGGACGAACCTTCAGGTTTGGAACCAGATATTGAATGTAAACAGGTAATGCATCACTACTTCACCATTTTGGTAAAATATTGCAAGTTTTAGAAATGTCTTATATTTTTTTAATAAGATATATTTTTACTTCAATTACATTTATTTCATCTAAGCTATTTCAATTTTGTTGTTTGTGTCAATGATGTAATAATTATTCTTATTACATATTTTATCACTGCAAAAGGGTTTTAAAATACATTTTTTTTTAGATTTGGTTAGATCTAGTTTTAAAGTCTATTTTTTTTTGTAATAAATTATACATTTTTATTTCAAATCCATTTGTTTGACTATTGCAATTTTGTTCTTCATGCCAATAATGATGTAATAATGGCTCTTGTTACATATTTGATCACTACAGCAAGATTTTAAATATATATTTTATTTTTGAGATTTGGCTAGATCTTGGTGTGAAACCTACCCATGTTTTACCTGGCTCAATGAAAGACAACTTTTGGGAAATGGGTGAAACGGGTCCTTGCGGTCCTTGTTCAGAATTACACTTTGACAGAATTGGAGGCAGAGAAGTGCCAGAACTGGTTAACCAGGATGACCCTGATGTTCTGGAAATTTGGAATCTTGTGTTCATTCAGTTCAACCGTGAGACTGACGGCAGTTTAAAATCTCTACCTAAAAAGCATATAGACTGTGGTCTTGGACTCGAACGTTTAGTTTCAGTAATTCAGAATAAAAGATCAAATTATGACACTGATTTATTTACGCCTCTGTTTGAAGCTATACAGAAGGGAACGGGTGCTCCACAGTATCAGGGAAGAGTTGGTGATGCCGATAAAGATGGCATAGATATGGCTTACAGAGTTCTAGCCGATCATGCTAGGACATTGACCATTGCTCTGTCTGATGGTGGAAACCCTGACAATACTGGGAGAGGGTAAGTTACTAGTTTTACTGTAAAAATATGGAATTATATCAAATAACGCTAAAGCATATTCAGGATCCATTTTGGCACTTTACTGATTTTTATTTATGGTATGTTAAATATTCACCATTTTAGATGCCTTCTATTTGTAAATAGTTTGTATATTTAAGTTATCACTAATGCTATCTGTGTATTTAGAAAATAAATAGATAACCATTATAATCATTTTATAATTCTTAGATATGTACTACGTCGTATCTTAAGAAGAGCGGTAAGATATGCTACAGAAAAACTCAATGCCAAACCAGGTTTCTTTTCAACGTTGGTTAACACAGTGGTTGATATTTTGGCTGATACTTTCCCGGAGGTTCGAAAAGATCCTCAAGGTAAAAATAAATGAATACACTAGAACCTTATGTAACGACCCACAATTATTTGACTTCATGCATTGTCTGGCCTTTTTTCATGTTTAATATTGCTTGAATAGATCTCGTTTTAACCAGTCTGTATTATCAGTACTTGCAGATGTAATCATTATTCTTATTTTTTTTTTAAGCAGATTGTATGTATTAATATGATCCCTTAAATTGTCCACAAGTATCGTAATAGTTTGAAAAGAAAAACAATTGTGCTAAATAAAACCAGAAGTTAGATGATTTAAAACATTTAATGAATTTTATATTGGTGCCATGACTTCAGTTAGAAATAGTGTTTTTGTTTTCAATTAAGATGATTAACCTTTCAGCTGCTAAATTTGATTTACCAGTCTTGTCCTGTGTGCGCTAATAATGCAGTGCTGCGTATATGTACGTTTGGAGCACGAATAGTCCATAGCGTATATATACGACCGGAGTAGGAAGGCGCTAAATTTCTAGATTCAATGAAAATATCCAGGACCGAATTCGTTCATATTTGATAACCATGAAATAAATAAACGTAATTCTATATTTTATTTGGTCATAAAGAAAAACCGAGAAAAACTTTATATTTTCAAAAAAAACTAATTGGTATCTACTTATAAGGTAAATAACATATTGCAAAAAATGGGAACTAAACAAAATATTTCTGAATTGATACTTATGAGGAAGGACAAAAATATGTTAATTATTAAAAAAAAAACATTAATAATTTTTAACCGTATGGTAACGTTCAAAACAATTAATTAAACAAAGTGGTACATTGCATTCGGTACACATATAACGTGTGTCTTTTCTGTGCCCCATTTTGGCACAAACAACACATCTTTTTTGGGCTTCTCTTTTCTTCTCCGTTGGTGGGACTTGTGAAGGAAAATGGCGGGCTGTCAAACGCAGGGGATTATCGCCTTGTGAACATCTTCTTCTAGTTCGATGGCTATAAATTTGCGAATGGTACTTCTCCAGAATTTGGTCTATGACCTTCATTTGAAAAGCCGGCAGGCTAATTTTATTACCCGTTGCAGTTTGATATAAGGCATGAGAGTTAAAAATGGCAATATCCAGTAAGTGGAAAAATACCTTTTTGTACCATTTAACTGTTCTTCTAACGCATTCGGTACTGCTAAGCATCATATCGGTGTAGCGTATTTAGCTCCGAAAAATTGAAGATCAATATAGGAATCCCGCAGGGGAGTATAGGTCCACTATTGTTTATTATATATTTAAATGATATAGCAAAAATACCCACAAATTCAAATCAGAAAATTATTAATTATGTGGACGACACAAATTTACTGGTAGGGGCAGACACCATGCCAGAAATCATAACACAAAGTGAGGTACTTTTACAATTAACAAAGGACTGGCTTTCAAAGAACGGTCTCATCATGAATAATGATAAAACTCAACTAGTACTTTTTTCATCAAGATACTGACAAATAAACAGACCTAACAATATCATACTGGACAATCAGATGGCAGAATTAGCAAGTAGTACAAAATTTCTAGGACTGCATCTAGATGAACACTTAAATTGGAAAAAACATATAGATGAACTTGCTGCTAAATTAAGTAAAGTAATATATGGAATCAGGGTAATTAGTAAATATGTAAATAGTACATCTACAAAAATCATTTACTTTGGTAGTTTCGAATCTATTTGTAAATATGGAATTATGTTTTGGGGTAATAGCACTGACATACAGAAAATTTTTGTCATTCAAAAAAGAATTATAAGAATTATTAATAATATGTCTTACATCCAATCTTGTAGATCGGTATTTAGGAATAGCAAAATAATGACTATATCGGCTCTGTATATTTTTGAGTGCTTAATGTATGTAAGGAAAAACTGGAATAATTTTATGACAGACTCATCATC